AAAAAAAAAAGTTTTGATTAGTGTCAGAAGTGCTTGACGAATAATAAACAACCCTAATATTTTCATAATGCACCAATGCCAAACATTTCACCACGGAAATAATGTTGCAGATGAACTTACTTGAACATATTCGTGACGACGGCGGACAAACGCCGTAAACTGCTAACACTGTCATTATATACAAGTGGTATATTATACAGTTTTAACATGATAGAAAAAAACAGTGTTTTTTCCTTTTTATACTATTTACTACAAAACAAATATTTATTGTGATAAAGAATTACAGTTTTTGAACATATTAACACAATCTATAAGACTAGATGTGAATAATGAAGTCAGTGAATTTCAGTACTAGTTAATGTGCAGCTGTTACTGTATCTGTATACAACAAGTTATAACATACCTTCTCTTCCGTTCATCACCAGAAGCCGGGATATAACTTCTACAACCTTTCCATTCAAGTCCAGCGTTCCATATCTTGTCCATATGAGGTGATAAAATGGTGCAGAAGTCGTCAAAATTGATGGCATCTTGGCTAGTTAAACCATGTTGTTTGCACATTGAGTCAACTAATTCCTCAGTTTCTTTCTTTGTCAAACTACTGTTTGCCATTTCTAACAAGGAGCTTAATTCATAAAATGATAGTTTAGTTACAACTTTAAGAATACTTTTTGATCAATTATTAAAGTTTGATTCATATTTAGAGACAGATAAGACATATATTATAAATAAATGAATTTTGTTTTTACATCCAATGGTTAAGCTGATGATGGTGGTACGCAAATTTTTGTGAACAGCGTAAAAAAAGTTGGGTGGAAATAATATGCACATATAGTTTATTTCTACGTACGATGTTTACTGAAGTAATTGTAGCACCACTAAAAATAACGAATAAAACCCTCTAACAATGCAATTTCCTAACAATAGCATGAACATCAGGGTCAGTTTTTGTGAAGTCTGATTTGCTCTATTTAAATTTTTATTTTTCTATCAATCACATTTTTTGTTTATACCTGAATAGCTTAAAGAGCTCATCCCTGTCTAGAGTTCCGCTACCGTCATGATCAAACATCCGGAACAATGTCTGTAATTTGTTCTGTCCAGATCCTAAACATAACCAAATGTGAAATTAATTCAGGAAATTAATGGTAAAATATAAATCGGTTATATTGTCAAGGTGGTGACAGATGTATGTTTTTTTTCTATATATTATACAATTATAAGAGGAAGAAGAAGAAGAACGTTTATTTCACTTAAACTACAAGTTTCTCGTGATTAACATTTATACAAGCATACATATATAATGACATGAAAAATACAATGACATGAAAGTAAACATAATAATTATATTGGATGGACAAAACAAAATAGAGATGACACAAATATTAAAGCATAATGGCTATTACATACACAGTAGTATACACAAAAAACTTTTCATTAGTTTGGATCTGTTAGGTATACATAAAAGTAGGTTGAAATACATATCTAAGCATTAATAATCTGATATCGTAATTTGAAAGCTTCATTAATATATTGACAAAGCATAATTGTTTCTTTATTTTTATCACTTTTTAATAATTGAGTAAACTTAAACATACTTGGTCTATTTCTATAATAATTCTTAATATATATATTTCTTAAATTTACATATGCAGGACACTTAAACACAAAATGGAACTCGTCCTCAATTTCATTTGTATTGCAAATTAAACAATATCTTAAATGACGCTCTACTCTTTCACGTGAATATCTACCTGTCTGTATTCTAAGATTATGAGCTGAAATACGCAGTTTTGTCAAAGCTATTCTTAGTTTTCTTGATACAATATTTTCTAAATAAGGTGACATTTCAAAACTGTCCTTTACTGATTTATATAAAAATAATACATCATTACAATTAATACTAGCTCTCCATTCTTGTAAATATTCATCTATTAATCTCTGTTTAAAAACGACAATAAAACAATTTTGATTAACGCTTAAAGGGTTTATCCATACATCAAAAAAACCGTATTTTTCTAAAAGACTTCGTACATTCGTACAATTATAACAAAGTTTACGCAGGAATGAGGTTTAATATGTTTATGTATCAATAAGATCAATTAACCTGTTATCAGGTTTCAGGTCAAATTTTAATTACACGATAATCATTTTGTTTAACGCGTAAAAACTTTAACGGTTTCAAACATCAATGTTCATCTGTCGATATTTGATGTAATTACCTTTTGACAGCATCACGACAGCGTTTAGAAACTCTCTAAACGAGATATAACCATTATGATCAGTGTCCATCAGTGAAAACATATTCTCAACAAACTCCGTGTTAGGTTTCATTGCCAAGGCAGACGCAAACTCCTCCTGTTAGTTTATACAAAACAGAATTACATTAATCTCATTAAAAAAACAACTTTATATTAACAATTCATCGATAAGAAAATAGAGAAAACTAGAACTATCGCTGAATGCGATTCATACCAATGTCCTTGACAGAAGACCACTAGGAAAGGTGGTTAAGGGAATAACTTATGTGGCACAAATACATAAAAAGAAATTATCTCTGGTGAAAAAAAGACTAATTGTACAGGTAATAGTATAAATATATATTATCAAATCATGTTCTAAACAGTTACAAATAACCTTTCATTTTCCCAATGTATTAAACATTTTATTTATAAGTCAATTTTTGACCTTCAAGTGTGGCCTTGACCTTAATCTGGCACAAGGGTAACATGGGTTTTGCACATCACCCAGTTTGGTTGAACATTTGAGTAAAGTTTGAAGAAAATCCTTCCATTAGTATAGAATTTATAGAGTAGACACAATATATTGTCTAGTATTGGTTGTATGTAAATTTGAAGACTAAAAAGGGGCATAACTTTGTCAAAATGCAATACAGAGTAATGAAACTTGACCTGCACACCTCATATATCTTTTAAGTTTCAAGCAAATGCCTGCGCTAGTTTCAGAATTATTCAAGTACATGTTAAAATTTTAAGAACATTTTCTAAGTCAATTTTTGACTTTCAAGTGTGACCTTGACCTTTAGCCGGCACAAAGGTGACATGGATTCTTGATTCTGCACATAACCTTGTTGAGGTGAAAATTTGAGTAAAGTTTGAAGAAAATTCTTCCATTAGTTATAGGATTTATTAAGAGCGGACACAACATATTGTCTAATATTTGATTGTATGTAAATTTGAAGACTTAAAAAGGGGCATAACTTTGGTAAAATGCAATACAGAGTTATGAAACTTGAACGAACAGCATATTGGAATTGTGACCCTTCAAAAATATATTAAGTTTCAAGCAAATACCTTTTTCTAGATTTAGAAATATTCAAATAAATGTTAAAATTTAAGAATATTTTCTAAATCAATTTTTGACCTTAAAGTGTGACCTTGACCTTAAGCCAGCAAAAGAGTGACATAAGTTCTGCAACATCCCCTGGTTGAGATGAACATTTGAGCCAAGATTGAGAAAAATCTTTCAATTAGTGTAGGACTTACAGAGCGGACATGACATACTGTGTAATATTAGATTGTTTGATATTTGACCTTCAATTGTGACCTTGACCTTGAGCTGACACATGGGCAACATGGGTTCTGCACATCCCCTTGTTGAGGTGAATATTTGAGCCAAGTTTGAAGAAAATCTTTCAATTAGTGTAGGACTTACAGAGCGGACACAAACATACTGTGTAATATTTGATTGTTTGATATTTGACTTCAATTGTGACCTTGACCTTGAGCTGACACATGGGCAACATGGGTTCTGCACATCCCCTTGTTGAGGTGAACATTTGAGCCAAGTTTGAAGAAAATCTTTCAAGTAGTGTAGGACTTACAGAGCGGACACGACATACTGTGTAATATTTAATTGTTTGATATTTGACCTTCAATTGTGACCTTGACCTTGAGCTGACACATGGGCCACATGGGTTCTGCACATCCCCTGGTTGAGGTGAACATTTGAGCCAAGTTTGAAGAAAATCTTTCAAGTAGTGTAGGACTTACAGAGCGGACACAACATACTGTGTAATATTTGATAGTGTTTGATATTTGACCTTCAATTGTGACCTTGACCTTGAACTGACACATGGGCTATATGGGTTCTGCACATCCCCTTGTTGAGGTGAACATTTGAGCCAAGTTTGAAGAAAATCCTTCAATTGGTATAGGAGTTAGAGAGCGGACACGAAAATGGAGACGGACGGACGGACGGACCGACCGACGGACGGACCGACCGACCGACCGACCGACGCGACAAAGCGAATCCATTATAGCCCCCCACATTTTGTGGTGGGGGTATAATAACAAAACAAATATGCTACTGCAAAATTAAAATCACAGAATGGCTGTAATTATCGTAACAAAATGAACAGTCTTTGAATCCCACTAAAGCTGTATGTTAACCAGATCTAAGAATTTGTATGTCAGCCCATAATTAGCTATTACAATGTAAACAACTTTGTCTCATAGTTCTCCATCGCTGAACAAGGGCTTGCTCGAATTCTTGGTCGCTTTCTCACACGCCTGTTCAATTCAGCCCACAATTTTGATGTTTAGATCTGGAGTTGTTGGAACTCGAGAAAGCCCTTGTTCAGGAATGGAGACATTTCCCCCCAAGCCTTCATGAGAAACTACGTTGTAACAATGAGACAGGTGTTTACACTTTGTTATAGACATGGGAGGACACACAAAGTATTAGAACTGGTTAACATAAGTTTTAAGAGACTTTTCATTTTATTACGATATTTACAGCCATTCTGTGATTTTTCATTTTGCAGTAGCATATTTGTTTTGTTATTTTTTATATTTTCTTGTCAATGAATTGTAAATAAGATAAGTATGATATGTGGAATTTTGTATGTTCAAACGCTGAACAAAATCTGTTCACAAATTACCAATTTATACCGAAAACTGTAAGTGTCGGGTTATAAGTGCCTCTAACATTTCTTCAACTTACTTTTAATATCAGCAAAGTTTCAGATAGTTACGTTGGTATATTAAGTCACTGTGTTTTTTAAAAAAGCGGTAACCTGTAAAAGAAATAAAAATTTTTTCCTACTTAACATTGCAGATGCTCCCAATCTTACCTTTTAGCCTCAAAATTTCAAAAAGTCTCTAGCCCTTGCCTCATTTCAACTTCACTTATCAATGTTGGATCATAATCCTTTTTGGGAAAGCAAAATTAATTTAAAAATTTATGATAAATGATCAAGTCTTTATTCTAATAAAATTATGATTACCTGTAAAATACAAAAGTTACTATAATAATGCAAAAGTAAAAAAAAAAAATAATAAAAAAACATCGAAGACTAAAGAAAAGCGTTGCTTTTATTCAACTGATTATAAATAATAATAGCTAAAAGCTAATAGAACTGTAAAAGTTAATATCTTAATTTTGTGTATACCTTCTCCACTTACACATGTACATGTATATGCTTTACACTGTCTTGTCATTTATAATGTGTCTGTTTATTCTCATGGACCATTTGGTCCAATGGAATATTGAAATAAACTTATCAAACTTATCTTATAAAAAAAGTGTTTCATTTCCAGCATAATAAATAGCTAATAGCTTTAAAAAGTGGAGTTTCTCTTGTTTTTTAATGTATAGTATTGTAGATATGAGTTAATAGTTAATTATAAATAATAGTAAATTCGTTCATTTTTGTTTTTATGATATCATATATTTAATAGCTAATATAAGAGTCAAGAAAAGATTCCTATACCTACTGTAATTAGTACGGCAATGTAGATGTAGCAGACGATAAATGGTCAATCTAGTCAAACTTTTAAATGTCAAAATTAAATGACAAGATATTGTAAACAAAATGAAATAATCAACTTAGAGTATAAATAGAGTTGAATAATTATAAAAATGATATATTGGTTTAAAGATTACCTCTGAAAACACGGTTTTAAAGAATTTCTCCAACAGATGGTTTCGTTTTTTCTGTGTGAATGCTTTCTTGTGTATGTTTTTCAGCTTTGTCTCTTGGAAATCAAGAGAGACCCCAGTATTGCTAAGTATATTCTGTAACGTGTCCAGAAACACTCGACGCTGTGATTCGTTTGACAGCTCGAGTACCTTTAGTAACAAACCAATATTTTAATTGAAAATATATCGCATAACATAATGAACTACAATTAATAAATTAATAGACATCTGACAATAAAAAATCAGATACGTTGTTTTTGTATTTTGAGAAAGAAGTTACATTTTTATTCTTACCATAACAAATTACACAGATGAAGTACAATTTGTAATGAACATATTTGTAGAATGTACATTACCACGTCATATTCCTTAGAAACCCGTATTAGTACGGTGTTTCTTTTCTTATTTGAGCTGATAGCACAGTGTACATGTTTCATATCCTTCATATTGACACTTCTCAATGGTTTGCCTTTCAGACTGATAATGTCAAGACAACTTTCAGGACGGATACGGACAACGACTAATCGCGTTTCTTCGTCCCACAGCCATTCTGTAGCTTTGAATTGGGTTTGTGGACCTGTAAATAGTTGTTAATTAAATTAGTTGTTTTATGTAAGTTATATGTATCATGATTGCAACGATCTATATATCGTCAAATAAAAATAAACAAAAAGTTATTAAAGACTCTTATAAACAAGAAGAGTTTGTTTGAAAAAAAAAGAAACGTCGTGTTTAATTTTTTATTCATTACAGTCTGTTAATAGTTCCTTGATGATAACTTCGCTCCTTTGTTATCAAGCGGTAAAATTAGAATAAGCCCTTCATAACAAATACTATATGTGTCCCTTTGTCTGAATATTCTTGGACAAATGCAATCATGTATAATATGTAAGATATCAATATAAGATAAAATCAACACTTATCAAATGTAAATGTATGTTAGAATGCCATAAAGTTATGCAGTTATTGTTACACTAAATTAGCATCTGTGAAAATACAACACAAATAACATAAAAATGAATGCAAAACTTTGTTATATAAACCCTTCATGTCACATATAATTGTTTACACCACAATGTACAATACAAGAATACTTTACATTCCATCTTACCAATTTCATCATAGAATGATTGAAAGCCTAAAAAGTGGAAATAAAACAAAACATCGTTATATAGCTGCTACATCTTTATTCCACATTTGTCGTGTCAATTTCTTGTTTAGGAAATCATACAAACTTTATGGATCTCTTCTTCAAATGATTTACGCTACATTATCAATGAACGTTTCAAACTTAACTTTTATTTCATTTCAAATAAGGTTAACAAAACAGAAAGGTATTTAAAAAAACACTCATGACAATAATCATTTTGGGAAAAAAAGTCGCCAGTCATCTATACAGATGACAAGATTATATACTTTACAATCTTACATTATTGTAAACGTTTTCATTCAATCGAACTACCATAATATAATATAAACGATAATACTAGTAGTTTGATAACTAATATTATCATTTTATATTGAAGGTCGGTAATTCTACTTCTACATGTATATAAAGGGTATACACTATGTCTATGTCGAAATCATTTGAATGAAAAGCATAATTTAATACATCTTCGTATATAATAGCACGTGTCATTTTGTCAGACAATAAATGTAGAACTATATACCATATTGGTTTCCTAGACTCCTTTATGTTATATTGTCAGACAATAAATGTAGAACTATATAAACCATATCCCCTTTATGTTATATTGTCAGACAATAAATGTAGAACTATATACCATATTGGTTTCCTAGACTCTCCTTTATGTTATTTTGTCAGACAATAAATGTAGAACTATATACCATATTGGTTTCCTAGGCTCTCCTTTATGTTATATTGTCAGACAATAAATGTAGACTATATACCATATCTGATTTTCCTAGACTCTCCTTTATGTTATTTTGTCAGGCAATAAATGTAGAACTATATACCATATCGGTTTTCCTAGTCTCTCCTTTATGTTATTTTTTGTCAGACAATAAAATGTAGAACTATATACCATATCGGTTTCCTAGACTATCCCTTATGTTATATTGTCAGGCAATAAATGTTGAACTATATATCATATCTGTTCCTAGACTCCTTTTTGTTTATATTAAATGTCAGACAATATAAATGTAAATGAACTATATACCATATCTGTTTCCTAGTCTCTCCTTTATGTTATATTGTCAGACAAAAAATGTAGAACTATATACCATATCTGGTTTCCTAGTCTCTCCTTTATGTTATATTGTCAGACAATAAATGCTAGAACTATATATCATATTCGGTTCCTAGTCTCTCCTTTATGTATATTGTCAGAAAATAAATGTAGAACTATATACCATATCTGTTTCCCTAGCTCTCCTTTATGTTATATTGTCAGGCAATAAATGTAGAACTATATACCATATTGGTTTCCTAGGCTCTCCTTTATGTAATATTGTCAGACAATAAATGTAGAACTATATACCATATTGGCTTCCTAGGCCCACCTTTATGTTATATTGTCAGACAATAAATGTAGAACTATATACCATATTGGTTTTCCTAGACTATCCTTTATGTTGTATTGTCAGAAAATAAATGTAGAACTGTGTACCATATCTGTTCCCTAGTCTCTCCTTTATGTTATATTGTCAGGCAATAAATGTAGAACTATATACCATATTGGTTTCCTAGGCTCTCCTTTATGTTAATATTGTCAGACAATAAATGTAGAACTATATACCATATGGGCTTCCTAGGCCCACCTTTATGTTATAATTGTCAGACAATAAATGTAGAACTATATATCATATCGGTTTCCTAGTCTCTCCTTTATGTTGTATTGTCAGAAAATAAATGTAGAACTGTGTACCATATCTGTTCCCTAGTCTCTCCTTTATGTTATATTGTCAGGCAATAAATGTAGAACTATATACCATATTGGTTTCCTAGGCTCTCCTTTATGTAATATTGTCAGACAATAAATGTAGAACTATATACCCATATGGGCTTCCTAGGCCCACCTTTATGTTATATTGTCAGACAATAAATGTAGAACTATATACCATATTGGTTTCCTAGGACTATCCTTTATGTATATTGTCAGGCAATAAATGTAGAACTATATACCACCTATCGGTTTCCTAGACTCCTTTTTGTTATATTGTCAGACAATAAATGTAGAACTATATATACCATATTGGTTTTCTAGACTCTCCTTTATGTTATATTGTCAGACAATAAATGTAGAACTATATACCATATTGGTTTCCTAGTCTCTCCTTTATGTTATATTGTCAGACAATAAATGTAGAACTATATACCATATTGGTTTCCTAGATTTCTCTTTATGTTATTTTGTCAGGCAATAAATGTAGAACTATATACCATATCGGTTTCCTAGACTCCTTTTGTTATATTGTCAGACAATAAATGTAGAACTATATACCATATTGGTCTTCCTAGACTATCCTTATGTTATATTGTCAGGCAATAAATGTAGAACTATAAACCATATCCCTTTATGTTATATTGTCAGACAATAAATGTAGATCTATATATTATATCTGTTCCCTAGTCTCTCCTTTATGTTATATTGTCTTACAATAAATGTAGAACTATATACCATATCTGTTCCCTAGTCTCTCCTTTATGTTATATTGTCTGACAATAAATGTGGAACTATATATCATATCTGTTCCCTAGTCTCTCCTTTATGATATATTGTCAGACAATAAATGTAGAACTATATACCATATCTGTTCCCTAGTCTCTCCTTTATGTTATTTGTCAGGCAATAAATGTAGAACTATATACCATATCTGTTCCCTAGTCTCTCCTTATGTTATATTGTCAGACAATAAATGTTCTTTAGAACTATATACCATATCTGTTCCCTAGTCTCTCCTGTATGTTATATTGTCAGACAATAAATGTAGAACTATATACCATATCTGTTCCCCTAGTCTCTCCTTCTTATGTTATATTGTCAGACAATAAATGTAGAACTATATACCATATTGGTTTCCTAGTCTCTCCTTTATGTTATATTGTCAGACAATAAATGTAGAACTATATACCATATTGGTTTCCTAGACTATCCTTTATGTTATATTGTCAGGCAATAAATGTAGAACTATAAACCATATCCCTTTATGTTATATTGTCAGACAATAAATGTAGAACTATATACCATATCTGTTCCCTAGTCTCTCCTTTATGTTATATTGTCTGACAATAAATGTAGAACTATATATCATATTCCGTTTCCTAGACTATCCTTTATGTTGTATTGTCAGAAAATAAATGTAGAACTGTGTACCATATCTGTTCCCTAGTCTCTCCTTTATGTTATATTGTCAGGCAATAAATGTAGAACTATATACCATATTGGTTTCCTAGGCTCTCCTTTATGTAATATTGTCAGACAATAAATGTAGAACTATATACCATATGGGTTTCCTAGTCCCTCCTTTATGTTATATTGTCAGACAATAAATGTAGAACTATATACCATATTGGTTTCCTAGACTATCCTTTATGTTATATTGTCAGGCAATAAATGTAGAACTATAAACCATATCCCTTTATGTTATATTGTCAGACAATAAATGTAGAACTATATACCATATCTGTTCCCTAGTCTCTCCTTTATGTTATATTGTCTGACAATAAATGTAGAACTATATATCATATCCGTTTCCTAGTCTCTCCTTTATGTTGTATTGTCAGAAAATAAATGTAGAACTGTGTACCATATCTGTTCCCTAGTCTCTCCTTTATGTTATATTGTCAGGCAATAAATGTAGAACTATATACCATATTGGTTTCCTAGGCTCTCCTTTATGTTATATTGTCAGACAATAAATGTAGAACTATATACCATATTGGTTTCCTAGGCTCTCCTTTATGTTATATTGTCAGACAATAAATGTAGAACTATATACCATATTGGTTTCCTAGGCTCTCCTTTATGTTATATTGTCAGACAATAAATGTAGAACTATATACCATATTGGTTTCCTAAACTCCTTTATGTTATTTTGTCAGACAATAAATGTAGAACCTTATACCATATGGGCTTCCTTGGTCCACCTTTATGTTATATTGTCCGACGATAAATTAAGAACTATATACCATATGGGGTTCCTAGGCTCTCCTTTATGTTTTTCTGTATCATCTTCACAGTTCTGTTGTACCTCCACTGTTTACATTTTGACAGTATATACACGACAAATAAGCACACTGTAAAAAGTTAACATCGAATTATTTAAGACAAATAAATTGATAAATGTTTATGTAATGTAAATGTATCTAACGTCATCATAGGAACCTCCTTATATAACGGTATATGTCGTTGTTTAATTTAAACACGCACACACCGCGTTCTTGATAATAACTATCATATTTCAACATGTACAAGTTATACATTTATTATCGCGCACTGTCATTACATTTTAATTACGTTTACACAAACATATAAATAATTATATTTAAATTCATTGACACTGTGAAAAAAATATACTATAGACGAATAAATACCTAACATATACTTATGGCAAATAAACATTATTATGGTATACTCACAGAAAGGTATAAGACCAAAAGATATCCAAATGATGATGTATGAAGCTTCACTTCCGGCAAAATAATCAAATCCTTTATGTGGAGTACACGGTTCAAGTACATTCTCCGGTAAATACTCCGCCTTTTTGCAATTACCTGCGCCATCTAATTCGGAAGAAAAAAATAATGTTAAAATTATATTGGGATAAAAGCGGAAGGTTATAATGTATCTTTTGATGTTTTACTTTGTGTTTTTTAATTACAAATGTAATGAATAGTTTAACATAGATTGTCATATCAGAAGCAATGTTTTTAACAATGTCAACCAGTACTCATTATTTTTTCGGCATCATTGAAACAAAATATGTTCAAATACAAAACAGTACGTTAAGAAATACTCACTTAAAAGAAGTTGAAAAATAAAAAAAAACAATGCCATATTAAAACAAGGAACATCGCAATGCGATGCAACCAGGTTTTCAGCAAAATATTTCACAGAAGCTTTGTCATGAAGGGGCATTTGTTTTTAATTGAACTTTTAGGAGGAATTATGGCTTTTTTAATATTCCTCAAACAAAAATGATTGAGAAATTTTATGTTGTCTATTCGCCTTTTTTTCCCAAATATTTTTAGAAAGGTAAACAGTACTTTATTTTTGCTTAATTTTTGCATTTTTGCGTCTCTTGTCATTTTCTTTTGTCAACAATATTGGCGTGTGGTGTTTGTGTGCGATATCAAGAAAAGTATGTTCACAATTTTAAAAAAATACTTGAATGATGTCTTGGAAGAAACATGGGAATTTAGTGAGCGCCAGGGCACTTGATGACAAAGCTTCTGTGAAAGTTTGGTCAAAATCCATTGAGAAATGTAGGAGAAGTTGCGCACTGTAGAAATTGTTCACTATATATTCTGTATAAGGAAAAAATATACAAAGGGCCATAATTCGGTCAAATATTATCCAATCACAAAACCCGACAATATGTGCCAGGCACTTGATAACAAAGCTTCTAAGAAAGTTTGGTCAAAATCCGTTGAGAAATGTAGGAGGAGTTGCGCACAGAAGAAATTGTTCACTATATATTCTATATAAGGAAAAAAAACAAAGGGCCATAATTAGGTCAAATATATACCAATTGCAAAACCCTGGAAATATGTGACAGGGCACTTGATGACAAAGCTTCTGAGAAAGTTTGGTCAAAATCCGTTGAGAAATGTAGGAGGAGTTGCGCACAGAAGAAATTGTTCACTATATATTTTATATAAGGAAAAAAAACAAAGGGCCATAATTAGGTCAAATATTATCTAATCGCAAAACCCCGACAATATGCGCCAGGGCACTTGATGACAAAGCTTCTGTGAAAGTTTGGTCAAAATCCGTTGAGAAATGTAGGAGGAGTTGCGCACAGAAGAAATTGTTTACGCCCGAGCGCCCGCCCGCCCGCCCATCCGCCCGCCGACATACCTCAATCTAATAACCAGTTTTTTTCCTTCGGAAAACCTGGTTAAAAAATAACTGACATATATTAAAGTAAGTTCAGTTAACAAATTTATATACTTTGCGAACAATCTAAGAAATTACAGGATGGATGTTATCGTATATACCTCTCTGACTATTTTGTATGTTTTGTCTTTTGTATAGCTTCAATTCAAGTACACATCAGTATATGATTGTAAAATAAAATATTGGTTTTATGCACCTTTCAGGGGTTTAACGCTTAATAAATGTTGTTGTTGTAGTAAATTACCATTTGACACAGTAGATTCTATCATAGAAATAATTCATAAAAATATTTGTAAATATTTGCCTCCTCAATACCTTCAGTAAAAATAAAAACATCTTTCTGTAATTCTGAAGAATCTATTCTGGTCGCATTACCGATTATCTCACTAAGTTTTAGATTTCTTATAAGTCTAATATCTTCATCACTGAATTGTCTGAAAACGAAATATATATTTAAATGTGTATCACTGTTTATTAAATGTAACAGGACAGTAAACTTATAACAGTTTTGTTTGGCGTCTAATTGAAATTGTTTTAAATGTGATTAATAAAAATGTTTCGTGTTTTATATAACATTTATAATTGATTCACATGCCATTGTTTGTTTATGTCTTACTTGACGTCAATATTGTAGAATCTGTTTTTATCTTAAAGCTTCCTTCAGCTTTTCTAAAGGTCAACTATGTTATTTTTAGATAAATCGTTTCAAATAATTGTCAAATAAAAAAAAATAGGCTGAAAAAATGAAAACTGCCATCGATTAATTACATAAAAAATAAGGAAACACTTTGATATTATATAATCTACCGGTCCGCAATAACTGAAATAATTAGTTTGAAACAACACAGACGTGTTTTTCCGTCAAACAAATAAAAGCTGAAGACGGCTTTAAATGTAAATGCATTAATTTCTCTTTTTATACATTTAGACTATTTGGTCGAATTTTCAAAGCTCGGATGAGTTAAATACGAACCTATTTTCTGTATTTTCAAACCAGAATCTATCACCATCCCGAATTCTTGTGAACTGATCAATGATTATAGTTGTAAAAAGTTCGCCAGGACCTCTGGGCGTGGTTTCGAACATTCCCCCAACGAATACGTCTATGTTGTCAAGGGTACCGTACAGGGAACGTAACGTATTTATCAACTGTCGTGTAAAAAAGGAACAATATCATAAGTACATAATTATGTATATATTATCTAACAATTAACACTTTCAACTAAAATTAGAAACGTTGGTGTAAAGCAGCCAACCAATCAACCGTCAATCTGTACTTAGTTTCCGACCCCAAATACTAAATATACACCTAAATTGATTCTACTAAAAACATTCAATAATGAGCTGTAAAGGGTTGTAGTAAACAATATGCAAGTTAAAAGAACATGTTAGCTGGATCTAAAGTCGATGAGAAAAAAAAGATTAAAATCAACTGGACGCCACAAATGAAAAGTGATCCATAGTTCATGGTTCAAAGTAAACATGGTGTCGATAATGACAAATTGAGAGTCAAACTGATTTTAGAAAACGTTTTGGTTTTATTTGTTGTTTTTTTTCAGTCGACTCGGAACATTTTATTACGGACAGTCATTAAAGGACAAACACCCAATGTGTCGACCTTCAGCTGATTAAAACCGTCATAAAGCCGAATATATAATAAGTCATATAAATACAACGATACAAGATATAAAACAGATAAATATTACCAATGTATCAATTTGTTGAAACCACGGTCTCTTTAATAATTAGAAACACGAAATTTACTTAAGGTGATCGTATACAATGCACGCATAAATATGACATTTGGTTTTGCAAATACCTCAATAAAAGATGCAGCCTAGCATGATATCAGTAATGTTACAACAGTGTACAAAATAGCTACACTCACATTTGGATTAGTTTTGTTCAGCCAAGGATTAATATCCTCCCATCTGCTAATCCTTTCTAGACCGACCTGTACACGAACGCTGTTGTAATCAGGAATACCATAATCTCGTCCCCTCATTATAATCTGAGATATAAAATCATGCCTCGAGAAGTGGAGCGGTCCATAGTATTTACCTGAAAAAGTAAAACATTTTCCATTACATATTTTTATTTATTCTTCATTATTAAAGTATTTACTGTTTTCAAATGTGGAAGTTTTCAACAGAAAGTGACCTACTTTAAAATCGTATGCTGTTTCTTTATTGTTTCCAATTAAAATGTTGATAAGAAAATATAATAAGGAATTCTTCGATTCTTTAACACACATATTGTTATATATTTATATGATATGGTACTGTACTTACTTTGTATATCTTCAACAACTTTAATATCTTCAGCCTCAGCAATCTGTGTGACTAGCCCTAACAACGTTTCTTCTACTTCATCTTCTCTCTCCATTAATATATCCTGAAACATTATTCTTTAAAAGTCAATAAAGCACCTTTATCATGAAATAATAGCCTTAACGCAAATATTAAGATGATATATTTGCTTACAAAAGATCAAAATTATTTCTCAAAAAGGTAAAAAATGACATTCTATAAACATTGGTAACTTTATAGGTACTTTCTGAAGATAAGCATTTTGACATAAATTGCTAATGTTATTTATTTTTTAGATGTTGTTCCATATGTTATATCTTATGCCTGACCTAATCGGTTCATGTTTCTCTCTCTCTCCAAAAACAAAGTTAGGAATTTCCATCCCTACCATGATGCCTGACATGATAGTGCTGATAGTGCTGATGTGTTAGGGAGCGAACTTAAAGAAATAATTGTAAGCTGCAAAAACTATTCACAGCTGAGCCTAAAATTGATTAAAGTTTCTACAATCTATAGATGTGTGGCAGAATGCGTCTATCAGGAATACCGTTTTATAACATGTCCTTATAGGCTTATAAGAATATGCAGCGATACCTAATTATTGTAAGTTGTGGACAGACAAGATTAAATTCGGCAACCAGATATACCTGTGACCGCCAGTAAGAATTGCAAAGACGAACCCCTTCATACTTCCCATTCATAGCATTTTCACACCTGGAATTTCTGCAAAACAATTACCAAATATTTTCCCTTTTGTAGTGTTCATATACATGTATCCAATATCGTGAAAAGAAATAATTAGTAGTTATGACACTAAAAACTGATAATATATAACGGAGTGTTGCAATTGTTGAAGAGTAAACGAAGTGCTGTATGACTTATTTGGTCATATGAAATATTGCATCACCATTCAGGCATGGTTTGAGAATAAAAGTTAAATCCTTACACTTTTACACTAATTGGAAGAATATATATGTATATATACCTTTGGTAAATTCCTGCAGGAATAAGTGTCAGAATATATCGAATTGCAGCTGCATCAAAAATTGACGTCACATCCGGATAGATATCCGATTTGTAACCTGAATATGAAAGATGGAGAGATAGATTTATTTCAGTATTATTAAGTTACTTGGTGAAACATCTTCAATACCTGATAAAATGATAACACATGTATAAGAAATGAAACATTCTCAAATACATCATTCTAAGGATAACACAAAAAGAGAACTTTATCACTTATTTCTATTGTAAAGAAACGTGTATTTCACATTCTTCAATGTACATGTATCTTGTATTTTTTAAATGAGAACGTTTGTGAATGTATTCCTCCTTTTTGCAAGATCAAATCAATAATGTTTAAGTAGTAAATAGTGGTAATATTTACCCGTATAGCTTGGCAAACTTTGACCTAGCAGTTCTGGAAGCCACTCATACATAATAACACTCTGAAAACAAACCAGCAATTACTAGGACTAGGAATTATAGCATGTATTTCAGAAGATTCCTTGGTCACATTTAAATTAAGTTGTTAAATCTATAAAAAAAATCTATTCTTTTATCTGAAGATGAAATATATTTTTTTTCACTATAGGGTCGTACTTGAGGTAGTACAATACGTTCATTTGATAACAATTATTGAGAAAATTTATGTAAATATTTTATGTAAATGCATTTCAAAATTATTGTAGAAATGCCCTGTACAGGTATTTTTCTAAATATTACTAACAGAAATCAAATCAAGAGCAGTATTAAATTTGAGAACCTGGAGGGAAGCAATAACCCATTGTCTAGCTCTCGAAAATGTCTCATCAAAGCCATGGTGGGCCTTAGATTCTAGTTTCTCAACTAGGAAGTTATGCCATCGGAAAAACAACACACCGAGTGACAGTAGTGCTGGATTTTCTTGTACATGTTTATCACCGAGCTCTAAAACGATTAACATAAATATAGTAGCAATAAGGACATGCTGTTTAGCTGATGAACTATGTATTTAATGATTGCTTTCAATTATACAGTCCTGTAAAGTTCTGACTATAAAAATATAGTATAATGAATATACTTTCACTAAATGATCTATATTGAATAAGATGTCTGTGAAATATACCTATAAACAATTTATAAGAAAAACATAATACATCGAGAAAAGGAAAGTATAGTCATTGTTAATCTTAAGCATCAAAATGATTTTTAATGACAGAAACAGTTTGTAGATATAGAATTATGTGAATATTATCTATGGAATATAGGTTCCATTTACTCTTTTAATACAAGTTTAATACAAGTTAATCAATCAATCTATATATCGTGAATCACAAGCATGTATATGAACATCAATAAAAAGAATGAAATCTTACTCCAGTAATCAAACTGGTCATGGAATTCGTGATTTACAGGATCCGGGTTTGCAATGTATGCAATCCCTTCTTCATTTTTCTGTGGATATTTTGACCAAGCATCTCCAGATGCAAGTTTAGGGGACCTGTTGCCTTGTAGATACAAGGCACGGATAAGGTTGTTTCCATACACAAAACTGCCATCAATATAGCTTGTTGCTTTGTTCACCTACAATGTACAAATATATTAACACTTTAAGTCAACTGCTCCGACCCTCACACTCTGCCCCATCTTCACCCAAATTGTGTATATACCAAATTTTCCTCTTTGCAATATACCAAATAATCTGATTATGCTTAATTATCATTTATAATAAAGTTGAGAAATGTAAGACATAATATAACTTAGAAACGTGATTAATGTACCTGTTTACGAGGAACATTTGGTGATTGACCTGTTCTCTTGTCGTAGGAAATTCTCTCATACGGTAGGTGCTGTGTACCCGTGCAAGCTTTGTCAAATTCCGGATCACATTTTGGTACGGGTATAGACAGTAATTCTACTGGACATGTTGTATCATCTGTGTCAATCAATTCCATTGCAACAAGCTGACCTATATTTGGAAAAGAACACGTGTAGTCTATATGTTTCTGAAACACTGCAGTAACTCTCGGACTTGCTTACATTCATTAAATTAAACAATTTTATTTGAAATCCGAACTATGAAATGTAGATAAAAGACTTTCGTTCCATATAAAGGCTATCTAGCATAAGACTAAGAGTGCAATAAACGAACGTTGTAATGAGTTTGATACACTTAGTTGCTTTCAAAACATATTTTTAAACAATATATTATAATTCATTCATTAATCTGTACTGTGCTGAATCAATTTAATATGAACTTACTGAAGAAAGCAAACAGTGCAGTCAGATTTCTTGAGTTAGGTGTAAATGTCTCATTATGTAATTTTTTGAAAATATGTTCGCTTATAAGCCTTGGACTTGGTCGATCTCGTCCTGATACTTTATAAGTATAATCGGAGTAATCCGTCGTTATGTTCTGCTTGAGCGGTTTCCCTAACACGAATAAATGTAAAAAGATATACATGTCAAGTACCAAAACGTACAACAGAATATGAATTAATTTGACTATTATATATTTTGACTCTTTCCCTTATTAAACAACTCTTATGGGAGACTGGTGGTCCTCCAAACGTGCACATTTGTACGTGTCTAAATATGTTTCTGTAATAAAACGAGAGTATTAACCTGTAAAAAAACTATAATAAGAACAAAAATATTCTTTATCTGTAAAAAAAAAATTTTATATAATAAGAACAACGAGATTCTTAAAGTGTAAAAAAAACTATAATAAGAACAACGAGATTCTTTATCTGTGAATGTAACTATGAACACAATAAGATTCTTTATTTGTAAATATAACTATGAATACAATAAGATTCTTTATTTGTAAATATAAGTATGAACACAATAAGATTCTTTATTTGTAAATATAACTATGAATACAATAAGATTCTTTATTTGTAAATATAACTATGAATACAATAAGATTCTTTATTTGTAAATATAAGTATGAACACAATAAGATTCTTTATTTGTAAATATAACTATAATGATCACAACGAGATACTTTATCTTTGAATATATACATAATTTAATGACTCTTTTTTGTAAATGTAAGTACAATAACACAACAAGATACCGGTTATGCCTAACTTGGTAATACATACATTCTATATAATAAGCACTAGAAGATACCTAAAATATATCTAAACTTGAAATTATAAGTTAACATTGACGAAATAATATGTAATAGAAAGAGCACCGAAACACGAGGCTATCTGATTTGTACGAGGGGGCGTAGCCCCCGAGTATTAATCAGATTGCCGAGTGTTTTGGTGTTCTTTCTCTTTTGTATCATAGTCAAACATAAAAGCACGTTCCCTGTTGTCACAATATGAAACCCCGGCAAAAATGAACCAATAAACGAACATCTGAATATGACATTTCTGTCGCTTTCCCTTTCTCTGCCGTCACAATATGTAAACCCCAGCAAAAATGAGCCAATCAATGGGCATGCTCTGGAGTGCGGGTAACTAATACCCGCACTCCAGTTAACGCACTGTGCATGTATATGTATACGATTTAACCCTGACACATTTTCAACAGAAAGGTCTCCAAACTATGATACAAGATACTGTTGTTGTTGCTGTTATAAATTAATATGTTTTATAAGTAGATACCTGCACTTCCTTGACTTGGTATTATCAGGTTATTAAAATAACCATCGAATCTCTGTTGTGAAAAACTGCTCACTATAAATAATAAAAAGTATAGATTGGCGATTTATTTTGCATATGAAAACAAGATATGTGAACATACAACTATCTAAAAACCGAAAGCAAATAGCGTACGTAACGTAAACTCCGTTACCACCAATAAAGTAAGTGATTTGTAACACGGAATCGAAGGGATATATAGAGGATATTTGTTTGATTTGAGTGAATATGCTTTATATCACACTGGGAAGAAAAATTATGCTAAACAAGATGACATTTGACGTATATTAACGGCTGCCTGTACAAACCAAAGTAATTACAATAGTAATTCAAGTTGAGTCATCATTGCGGCGTAATTTTTAACTTTTTTAGTAAAGTTACAAGAAAATCATTGATGCAAAGCATCAAAGGGCGACGCCAAAAGAATTTGATCCAGATTTGCACCTAAATACTTAACAAAAGATGTGTACTTTATAGCAGTACCATTACATGTGACCTGGAGGCTAGGGCCAGTTTAAGTTGAAACTTAAACCAAAAAAGAATAGACTCTGTCTTGCCAAGATGCAAAGACAATTTATAGTCAATTAAGCAATCTTATAAGACTCATGCTATAAGAAAGAATTTCTTCAGATTTATTTTATGAGACACAAGGATTCCTGAGTCATCAGCATATAATCACAGGCACGAGTATCGGACCTGGGAAGAAAAAATATGACCAGATGACCAGATTGATAAAAAAAACTGTGTTTATAAAAACCAAAAAAAAAAAATGTAAATAATGATCCCCTTTAAAAATATACTATCAACTTGAAGTATATTTTTAAAGGGGGTCATTATTTACATTTTATTTTGGTTGTTGACACTTTTAAGATGAACACAGGTTTTTTATCAATCTGGCCATATTTTTTCTTCCAAGGTCTGATACTCGTGCCTGTGCATTATAATAAAAGCTTACTGCTTAATTAGGGTTGAAGACATGTAATTGACATATATTAGACATAAAAGAGGACCTAAAATGAACATCAGGGGGACAGCATAGGTACTCAGAGCAGTAGTAGAATGAGTACCAGCCACATCAGAGATAATACTTAAACCATGTAAGAATGTCATTATATATGGCAGATGCTTGAAGTTTCATGAAGAAGAAGAAAAACAACTTCTTCATGTGCAGTATAGTGTGTTCAACTGTATCAAATGCCCTTTGTAGATCTAAAAGTATCATGCAATACAGTTATACTGCCTTTGTCCATTTCAAATAATGCAATCTGTTAAATGAATCAAACATGTGTCAATTGAAAAACCACTTCTAAACCCTGACTGAAACTGCCTGACCATGACGTACTCGAACCCATGACTTTCAGAAGACCAACTGAGCTATCCGGCCTGCTACACATTTTCTCTTTAATAATGAAACAGTTCTAAACCACAACATATTTCCCCACTATATCGATTTGTGTTCGTGAATTTCTTATGTTACAGAGCATAGGAAATTGAACTCATGCTTATATGCAGTCACAGGATGAGAAAAACTTTGAGCTTGACCAGAACTCAAACCTGTGACCAACATAAGAAATTTTATGAAGGCTGATTTGTATTTTGCATCAAGGGCACCGGGCAAAAACATGAAAATGCAACAAACAAACCACTTTGTGGTAGATTGTATTTTCATGTTTTCATCTGGCGCCCAGTTACTTTTTGTACTATGTTGGTTTTCATGTGGCACAAATCACCCACTATAAATTTAGTGCACAAATTTATTCAAGGGCAAGTAACAATCTACTCTATGTACAGTCTGTTGTCGGGTTGACTCAGGAGACCTGGAGGTTGAGACCGGTGTCCCTTCATTACAAATAGATAAGACAGAAGCTGTCCTTTTCAAACTATGCACATGTTAGAAAAAAAATAGAATAACTATTCAGAATATGATTTTTTGAGACTTTATTAATTATATTGCTTGATCCAAGTTTAAGGACATTTTCAACCAATACATGTTTTATCATTTATAACTTTAAATGAAAGTCTCATCCCTTTAATAATAATGACATAACTGTATCTCTTTAAATGCAGAAAAATTATAAGTCTCAACATATCAATATACTACTGTCTAAGATATACATGTATGCACATAACATTAATAATTCCCAGTTTATATTAAATAAATATGAAATCCTAACATTAACATTAACATGCTTTTGATGACCTTACAACTGGTGAATTATATACAACAAAAATAGTATTATAAGTAATACCTAAGATAGACAGAAAAGAACAAATAATTTAGTAAACATGAGTTACTTCCCCTTACAATAAAGAAAACCTGAAACCCAAAAGAACACCCTAAACAGCAAAATTATGAAATGCTGCAGGTTCAGTTTTATCAAGCCATGCAAATTAATGGTAAAGTATTCATAAAAAAATAAATGGCCATGTGTCAGCAGTAATTGCAGAAAATCGGATAGCTTTCAACATCCGGATACTGGTACACTTTGTAAAACCATTCTGCGCAACAGATAAATGTAATAAGGATAAAATCAATAGGATAATCGTTTACAACAGTTCCATTACCTATCCTTATACTTAATTGCAGGTGAACTTTCTTCTTGTAGGAAAATTTTGAAAATGTATAAATGAATGAATGAACTGATACGGCCTCAATCTAGACCACAACGATATTCGAAATCCGGGTTTTAGTATTGTCATTAAAACTAAGGGACAAGCTGTTAAACTTAACCTGCAATTTCGTGAAAATAATATCACAATGCACATGCTTTTTACATAAAGTTATTAAATACAAATATAACAACACATTTGTTTACTTGATTTTTACGAATCAAAATAAAACTAATTAACACAACATGAAATTAACTGCTAATAATAACAGCTCCTTCCATAGGCAAAAATAAAAAGTATTCCATAATAGACGACGCCGCTCACCGGCGTCGCCAATGATATTTGAGTCGTGAATCATGCCATTAAGAACAAAAGCCAACAACTGATTTTTCTATAATTTTTCATATTAATGAATTACGCAAAATAATACACACGTCAATATAACGTTCATCTATATCACCAACACTGTGAGATTTACTGTAAGTGATATATAGACTTTATTTCACAGATTTCAGTAACATGGGAAATAAATGATTAGTTACATGGAATTTCACAGACTAGACTTTATTTCACAGATTTCAGTAACATGGGAAATAAATGATTAGTTACATGGAATTTCGGTGATTATTTTCACGGGATGTGAGTGATTAGTTACACGGGATAAAAGTTTGCTATGAATGACACAGTTTAAAGTCAACTTCCATTAAAGAATATTGTATCGTAATTAGGTGAATTATCATTATAAATATTTATATCACAATCTTATTATGGTATCTTGTAGTATATTGTTACTAGGATACGTGATAAAACAGGATGTCAAACTGATTTATCTCGACAGAATGATATACGTGCGCAAAATGAATCAGCTTGTTTTTATAAATTACCCATTTATTGACAGTATGAGAAATCCTTATGTAGCAAATAGTTCTGAAGACAGGTTCTTTAAGTGCATTCTAAAGTATTAGTTTCTTCTGATAATAAGTTGAACCTAAACTTGTTTAAATGTTCCTTTTTCCTACAATTATCTGTGGCTTATAATGTCATTTTCACCCTGGATATATAAATATGTTAGCAAAAGTATTAAGGATCCTTTTCATGAATTATGAGTAATACAAAAAAAATATATTTGAAACATGAAAACATGTTATAATGACCCTATCTTGGCATGAAGTTTCACGTACTTAAATTTCAGTTCAATAAAATTTGTTAACATGTCGCTTTTATTACACATTAAGTTCTGTGTGATTTAATCGGCCATTTCATTGACCAATCAATGTTGCCACACGAATTAAGCTTTACAATTGATATAATATTTATTAGTTTTTGTTGTTGATTTTTATCATTTACCCCGTTATAACTGATCGTCTTGATACAATGTCTTACATTCATTGTAAAAATAGTGAACTGTGATAATCTTACAATTTGTTATAGATACGAAATTACCGAAAGTACCATATTTTCAAAGAAAAAAAGATACGATGACCTAAGACTTTTTTTTACAAAAATTCTTAAATGCTTAAAATTTCCTCATGACTAGAACTGGGTATAAGAAACTTACCATGTCCAATATAAACTATAACTTGTAAACTGGTGAGTACAAATGATCGTTCCATGCTGATTATGTCCCTTTAGTTATCGCCATATATGAGAAATCTACAATAAAACAAAAATACAAAAACACATGTAGGTTTTATTTATAAATACAATGTATACTGTCTAAAATCACAATATTATGATAACATTGCAAAATATACATGTATACACACTATGTAACACAATATTATATATACACACTATGTAACACAACATTATATATACACACTATGTAACACAACATTATATATACACACTATGTAACACAACATTATATATACACACTATGTAACACAACATTATATATACACACTATGTAACACAACATTATATATACACACTATGTAACACAACATTATATATACACACTATGTAACACAACATTATATATACACACTATGTAACACAACATTATATATACACACTATGTAACACAACATTATATATACACACTATGTAACACAACATAAGAAACTTAAAATACAATGCAACAGAAGAGAAATCATTAATAATTTATGTATCAATAAAAAATATATCAAATGCAGAATTTCAGAAAATAAAAACAGAATCTAAAATTCAACTTTTTTACATAAAAGAATTTGCTGTAAAAAAAACTAAAAAATATTCGTATTGTACTGCAATATATCCTCACTTACTTGTTCCACAATAATTTGAAAATGATAGAACTAAAATAAATGGACAAACATTACAATGAGAATGTTTACAGGTATAAAAGGTATGACTATAACATCCTTGTTCTGTAAAACGTTCAACTATAAAACCACAAGAAAACTCCTTAATTAAACCACAGACCATAACCAATCAAACAATATATAAATAGTTTTACATTAAACACATACATAAATATATGAGTTAAATTAGTATATCTATTATATCATGTATGCAGGAACTTCCATCAGTTCTGGTCTACCAAGTTGTTCTCAATAAGCATTACTGATTGGATGGACAACATTACGTGAACATGATATGTTAGTTTGCTAGGTGATATCCGGATATGTTTAATAAATCTATAAATACTTTGTTGAGTAGTTAAACTAATATCAAAATACAGAAGTTTTTAAACAATCAATTTTCAATTATATATACATGTACATATTTCAGGAAATATGGCTTGATGAACTTACTTCAGATATTGTAATTATAATGATATCTTAATATAATATATAACACCGTTACTTAAATGTTGAAAGGGTCTCGCAGTATGTAATATATAAAATATTTATATAATTAATTAACATAGCTGATTTCATTAACGATATATTTATATTCTTCATCTTATACAAATACGTAGCAATTAAAATGGCGTGTACTCAGCAATGTTTGCAAGATTAATACTAAAATGGTGGTAAATAAATGAGATGATATTAATAAATGACACACAGCCTTGTAAATATTGTTTCCTCGAATGTTCATATAGTGAGTATATTGTCCTACACGAATAAACCAAAAGCCAGATATAAAAACTACATTTCAAAAGTGTGCAGTATCTTAAATTACGGTGACGTATGTCCAAAAGCTTGATAAGATCATAATCAAAATGTGAAATCTTTTATTGATTAAGATAAACGCAATGAACTAAAGAAAAAATCACTATCAAGTATATTGTTATTGGACACTTTACATAGGGATTAAAATGTTTGAGATTTTACAGAGGAACTTCGTTGCGTGATGACAAAGATTTAATGTGACGTAATTTCGGTAACTTCAATTCCCATTTATAAACGTAACGAACCCGCAAAATGTCGGTATCAATATTTTATTTGTTATTTTCTAGCCAATAACATTTAATAGGTTATACACTAAATGCACAAAATAGTCATCTATATTTTATTTGTTATAAACTAAGTGCACAATGTAGTCATCTATATTATATTTGTTATAAACTAAGTGCACAATGTAGTCATCTATATTATATTTGTTATAAACTAAGTGCACAATGTAGTCATAAATATTTTGTTTGTTATAAACTAAGTGCACAATGTAGTCATCTATTTTTTATTTGTTATAAACTAAGTGCACAATGTAGTCATCTATATTTTATTTGTTATAAACTAAGTGCACAATGTAGTCATCTATATCTTATTTGAGTCATCTATATTTTTTATTTGTTATACACTAAGTACACAATGTAGTCATAAATATAATATTTGTTCTACACTAAGTGCACAATGTAGTCATCTATATTTTATTTGTTATACACTAAGTGCACAATGTAGTCATCTATATTTTATTTGTTATACACTAAGTGCCCAATGTAGTCATCTATATTTTATTTGTTATACACTAAGTGCACAATGTAGTCATCTATATTTTATTTGTTATACACTAAGTGCACAATGTAGTCATCTATATTTTATTTGTTATACACTAAGTACACAATGTAGTCATCTATATTTTATTTGTTATACAGTTAGTACACGATGAAGTCATCTATATTTTATTTGTTATTCACTAAGTACACAATGTAGTCATAAATATTTTATTTGTGATACACTAAGTGCACAATGTAGTCATCAATATTTATTTGTTATACACTAAGTACAAAATGTAGTCATCAATATTTTATATCTATACGCTAAGTGCACAAAGTAGTCATCAATATTTTATTTATATACACTAAGTAAACAACATAGTCATCAATATTTTATATCTATACGCTAAGTGCACAAAGTAGTCATCAATATTTTATTTATATACACTAAGTAAACAACATAGTCATCAATATTTTATTTGAAACTTGAAACTTGAAACTTGAAAACTTGATTGAACGCCTATTTCTACATATAAAATACATATTCAATGGCGTTGTACAGCTATATACCTTATATGTGCTACTCCCAGTGCTACCATACACAATACTCCCAGCAGTGCGACGGTCACAGTGATTGGGTCAATCCCCACCAACATGTAACAATCTACACCCCTGCACCCCTGCACATGATAACACATGGGCTAGACTTTATTATATTATTATACAATGAAAATAATAAAAACACTAGAAATATACAAACATGCACAAAACAATTAGGAACAGACAATGCCTTCAGCGTCACTTAAAAAAGTGCAAAAAAAGTCCTTGAAGTAAAATGATTTCAGTTGTCTTTTGAAAATTTCAACAGATTCACATTTTCTCATATTAATAGGTAGTTCATTCCACAATTTTGGTCCTATCGTGCTAAAAGCTCTGTCAGAAAAAGTCCTCTTCTTATTAAAAGGAACAACATAACAACCAACTGAGGATTCAGATGATCTTAAGGTTCGTTTTGACACTTGATGAGACAAAAGCTCTATTAAATATGATGGTGCGTTTCCTACCGAACAGTTATACATGTATGTCAGTATCTTGAAACTGATTCGTGCTTTAATCGGAAGCCAGTGCAGATCGAATAATGCCTGTTTAGAACTATCATACTTGGAACGACCTAACACCAGTTTGGCACACATATTTTGAATACGTTGAAGTTTGGCTAATTCATTTTGAGATATGCCGTACAGAATGATGTTGCAATAATCTAAATGGGATATTACTAAAGATAAAACAAGTGTTTCAGCGGCTTCCTTTGTCAGATACTTTCGAATGCTCTTGATCTTGAAATAGTTTAACATAGCAGTTCTACACTTTCTTTTAATGTGATCTTTGAAATTTAGAGACTCATCCAAAAAAGCACCAAGATACCGTATACAATGTTGTGATTCAATAACATTACCACATATATTGATTTCTTTGGTGTTACACTTATTCAGCTGTGGACGACTTCCGAAAAGAATAAACTCTGTCTTTGAATTGTTCATTTTTAACTTGTTGCTGTTCATCCACTCATTTATATGCACTGCACAGTCCTGGAGGTCCCGAATTGCGCTTGCTTCTGCGGTAGGTGATGGTTTAAAACGTTTATTCGCAACGTGGTCGTCGGCAAATCCGTGCACGGAAATGGAGGGAGGTACAATGTCAAAGATAGTTCCTGCGTACGTCAAGTAGAGCCAAGGGCCCAAACAGCTTCCCTGGGGGACACTACAGTCAAGTTCCCGTTCTGATGACACATTCGAGTTAACACTCACTCGACAGCTACGCGGCCTCAAATATGAATCTATCCATTCCAGCGCAGATCCAAAGACGCCATATTGAGTTTCGAGAACATTTAACAGTATGTTATGGTCAACAGTATCAAAAGCAGCACTTAAATCTAGAGCTATCAGTGCAGTGACCTCTTGATGCTCCATTGCATCAAGAATGTCGTTTACGAGTCTAAGAAGGGCTGACTCACAGGAGTGAAACTGACGATAGGCCGACTGATTCGTTGGAAGGAGATCGTTTCCGTTTACATGTTTGTTTAGTCGATGAAGGGCGGCTTTTTCAATCAATTTGGACAAGAATGACAAGTTGCTGACGGGTCGATAGTTGGCAAATGTGAGTTCAAGACCAGATTTTTCAACAGAGGCCTGACTATTGCCTTTTTCCATTTAGCTGGAAAAACACCTTGCGTCAGAGAAAGATTCACAAGCTGGGTAATCATAGGCAAAAGTTCATTGAGAAATGATTTCAATACTTTGGTGGGCAGAATGTCAAGCTCACAAGATTTAGTTTGTAACTGACTTATGAGCATTTTAATCTCATCCTCTGAAAGACTTTCGAAAGATCCAAACGGTGGTACGTCTTTTAACCAAAGGTTTATAGTTTTCAAAATCTTTCAGAGACTCGCGTATCTTCTTGATCTTGTCCATAAAATGGTCTGCGAATTTATCCGCAAGGGTGTTTTCATCTTCCACGGGTGGCATTGGGTTTTCTGACTTGCTTCCGGTAAGATCTTTCACAAACTGATAAAGCTTTTTAGAGTTACCTTTTGATTCAATTACCTTCTGACTAAGTGTTAATTGTTTCACATTTCTAAGTTCATAGTGATATTTGTGAAGTGCGGACTTATAAATTTCATAGTCCTTGGGTTGCCGATGTTTGCGCCAAAGTCTCTCTGATCGACGCATCACTCGTTTCAGGGACATAATACTTTCACTGAACCAGGGCTTCGGTGCTCTACATATTT